AAAAAAAAAAAAAAAAAAAAAAAAAAGAAATGCAACCTAACTCTCCACTATATATAAATACTTGATAAATGTGGAAATTTCCCTTGCCTCATTAATTGGGCACATAACAAAATCACTGGTAGATTAGCAGTGACTGAGTATCTACTAATATTAAGTGTTGCTAGGAAGGTGAACAGTGGAAATGGGGATAGTGCTGGGAACAGCGTGAAGAGTTCAGCGTCACCTGCAGAGTCGAGCGTAATTTCCCCTGGAGCCCTGTGATTCCGTCTCCTGCAGAGAAACTGGTACACACAGGTGAATGCACTAGAGTATTTATGTCCCCATTGCTTGTGTCAGCAACTAGACGTCACCAAGGAGGGCAGTGACCATACATGGTGGTGGATCAGGTGTGTGGTGCTGACAGGGCGACTTAAAGTGAGAGGAGGAGAAGTCAGGTCCAGCTCCTGGGATGTATCTCAGAGTACGCGTTGACTGAGGCACATGAGTTCCTAATCACAACATAAAAAGTATATTGTTTATATCTGTGTAGAACTGGCAAAAAATAAAGTCCTTGGAATGATTAACACAAAATCTAGGGGCCTGGGGAGATAGCTCAGTAGACTAAGCACGTGCCTGGCAAGCTCAGGGTCCTGAGTTCAATCCCCAGTGCTGGAAAAAAAAAAAAAACACACAAAAAACAAACAAACAAAAAAAAATCTAGGCTGGTTGGGAGAGTCAGGGAGGCAGTAATTTCACATGAGGATAAATGGGATAAAGAAGACTTTGGTTTTTTAACCCCTACGGTACTTGGAAATGAACCCAGGGCCATTGCACTGATTTACATCCCCAACCCTTTTAGATTTTCAGTCAGTGTCTGTTTGAGTTACTGGGTTGTGCAGGTTGGGCTCAAACTTGCAAACTCCCTGCCTCAGCCTCCAGAGAGCTGTAATTAGATGTATGGGTCACTTTGCCTAGCTTGTTCTTTTTCTTTTTTTTTCTTTTCTTTTCTTTTCTTTTTTTTTTTTTTTTTGGTGGAACCAGGGATTGAACTCAGGCCCTTGCACTTGCCAGGCAAGCACGTATTCTACTGAGCCATTTCCCCAGCCCCCTCCATTAGTTTTTTGTTTCGTTTTAGTTTTGTATTTTTGAGACAAGGTCATACATACACTTGGAGCTAATCTTGAACTCACTATGTAGCCCAAGCTGTCCTCAAATACTCAGGGATCCTCTTGCCTCAGCCTCCCACGTACTGGGATTACAGGCATGTGACACACACCTAATAGTTTTCTCTCTTCCTACTTCCCTCCCTCCCTTCCTTTCTTTTGTACCAAGAATCAAACACAGGACTTCACACTTTGCCAGACAGGCGCTGCACCACTGAGCTATAGCCGTGGCCCGTTTTCTGTTTAACCTGGGTGTTTTATTTTGCTCTCTTCTATAGGTACATCTCACACACTCTTCTGCTTGCTGTCTGGTAACACCAGAAGAGTATGTGACAAAAGAGGCAAGGCAGGAGGCTTCTGGTTGCCCCTCATTTAGCAAGTAGGAACTTTATTATAGCAGGCAATAATACACTGAACACTTGGTTTTGTTTTGTTGAGACAGTCCCTCACTGTGCAGTTCAAGCTATCCTTCAAATCAATATGTAGCACAGGTTGGTCTTGAACTCTGGCTGTGATCCTCCTGCCTTGGCCTCCTGACTTGAATTTCTTTCTTCCTTTTTTTTTTGTTTTTGTTTTTCTTTTTGGCAGAACCAGGGATTGAACTCAGGCCCTTGCGCTTGCCAGGCAAGTGCTTATTCTACTGAGCCATCTCCCTGGCTTGCCCTCCTGAGTTTCAGGTTTACAGGCATATACCACCACATACCAGCAATAAGCCACACTTTTAATATAGGTTAATTAAAATTTAAAATGGTGAAAGTGTATGGATTGTGATTTCCTTTTCGAAAATCCTTAAGTGTCAGGACACAAGACATTGGCTTTACTGTTGTTCTCAGTCCCTTAACGCCCACCTTCCTCTCGCCGCACACCTCTGCTTCTGGCATGCCATGGTAAGCCAGGTGTTCTGGAGGGTGGTTCTGCCAGACCCGCTTTGTGAGCTGGGGCTTTTGTTAGCTTTCAGTCTGCTTCCTGGCTTTACTAAATTTTGATTCAGAGCTGTACATGACTAGAACTCAGGGCTTCCGAGCAGGTGTGAGTAACCACTTCTCTTCGTGGCTTTAGCTCAGGTTCAGATCGAAGGTGACTTCCTGGCGTGTTCCTTCTCTATTCTCGAGGAGCAGCCCATGGACATGCTTCTGGGGCTGGACATGCTGAAACGGCACCAGGTAACTGGAAGCTTCTCTTTTATTTATTTTTCTTGCCTCTGCCTTTTCCATATTACAGGATTATTACCACATGACCACATCGTTGCTGTTTTGTTACCTATCCTGGGAAACACGAGACCTTTCAAACATAGAAACTTGCTTAGCTCATTATGTTGCCACTGGATGGTGGAAAGCAGTGGTGGGACCTTAGAAGTAGAGCCTTTGTGCAGTCTCTGGGAGTCTCCTAAATCTTACTGTCTGATTTGACCTTATGTAATAACTGGCTGTTTGGTTCCTTTGTGGTTTTGTGTGTGTGTGTGTGTGTGTGCGTGTGTGTGTGTGTGTGTGGAACCGGGGATTGAACTCAGGCCCTTGCACTTGCCAGGCAAGTGCTTATTCTACTGAGCCATCTCCCTGGCACCCCCTTGTGTAATTTTAATAAGCTCTTTTTTTTTTTTTTTTTTTTTTTTTTTTAATATTCAGGCAGATCTTGAACTTATTCCCTCTTTACTAGGAAAGAAAAAAAGCTAACTCCCTACATCACATATAAACCTTTAGTAACAAAGTTCTTCCCAAGTTCTGTGCATAACTGAAATTCCAGCTGAGGTATAGTCACTGGGTAAGCGCCAACCAGCACACATACTTCTGTGGGCTTGAGCTCTTGGGGGGGAACCTTAGAGAATAATGTGCATTGTACCTGTTCAGCATTCTACATGGAGGGCGTGGGTGCCTGGTCCTATAAATCTAATTTAGTGCCTTCATCATCTTTTTTTCTTTGTGGTACTAGAGATCGAACTCGTACTTGCCAGGAAAGTGCTTATGCTGATAAACTATGTTCCGAGCCCCTAATTTAGTAACTTGTCACTCTTTCCCTATATTTTACTTTTAGTATTCACCAGCAGTCTCCATTTTTATTTTTATTTTTATTTTTTTTTTGCAGAATCAGGGATTGAACTCAGGCCCTTGTGCTTGCCAGGCAAGTGCAATCACAATCTATACACTTTCGCCATTTTAAATTTTCAATTAACCTTTGTTAAAAGAGTGGTTTATTGCTGGTTGTGGTGGCACATGCCTGTGACCCTGACACTCAGAAGGCCAGGGCAAGAGGATCACAGCCAGAGTTCAAGGCCAGCCTGTGCTACATAGTGAGCTGTCTCCCAGCCCCAGTCTCCACTGTTATAGATAAATTATACATGTGTGCAACTGTGTTTTGTTTTATGTACGTTACTGGGGGTTGAATCCAGAGGGGTCTCCACTGACCTACATCCCCAGCCTTTTTAAAAATTTTTTTGTTTTGTTTGGGTTTTTTTGTTTTGTTTTGAAACAGTGCCTCACTAAGTTGCTCAGGCTGCCTCTAATCTGAGATCCTTCTGCCTCAGTGTCCTGAATATGGGGTTGCAGTCATGTGCCACCATGCCCAACTGTGTCCTATACTAAGTAGATATAAAAATACACAGGGAAGAATGGCATACAGAGGAAAGAAAGGATACTTTGTAGAGGTTGCCTTGTACATTTTCATTTTTGAGACCATTACTTTATAGTCTAATCTGTCTTTTTTTTCCTCCATAATTTTTAAGCTGTCTTTTATAAGATAAGCAAAAAGAGCAAATGCAAGGCTATAGTTTTTTTAAAAATGAAAGGATGGGGCTGGGGAGATGGCTAAGTAGAAATAAGCACTTCCCTGGCAAGCGCAAGGGCCTGAGTTCAATTCCCGGTTCCGCCCAAATAAATAAGAATACTAAGCTGGGATGGTGGTCAGTGCCAGTAATCTCAGCATTCAGGCAGCTAAGGCACGAGGATTGCTGCAAAAGTTCAAGGCCAGCCTGAACTACATAACCCTGTCTACTGAATTAATTCTTTCTAAACTGGGTGCACTAGTATCCATCTGGCCCCAACTATGTAGAATAAGGACACAGAGGGTAGATAGCCTGAGCCCAGAAGTTTAAGGCCAGTCTAGGCTGTAGTGTTAGTAATGACTCATCTGAAAACTCAGGCAGGGAGGAACCCTAAAATAATGGGCAGTATCACCCATTAAGTGTAAATTCATTTAAATAATGTTTGTCTTGTTTTTTGCTAAACCCTCTCTCCCTCTTGGTGTAGCTCGTTGTAAATGGGGTTTTAATTTTTCTGCATGACATTTTTATCTTTTGGGGTGAGTTACTCGGAATTGAACTTGGGACCTTGCACTTGCCAGGCAGGCAGTTGGGCCACTGAGGTATATCTTTGGCTTTATCTGCTATCTTTTTTTTCATTGGTTTCTTCCTCCCAAGTGTTCCATTGATCTCAAGAAAAATGTCCTGGTGATCGGCACCACAGGCTCGCAGACAACCTTCCTTCCTGAGGGAGAGCTGCCAGAGTGTGCCCGCCTGGCATATGGCGCTGGGCGAGAAGATTTGCGGCCAGAGGAGATTGCAGACCAAGAGTTGGCAGAAGCCATTCAGAAATCAGCAGAGGATGCAGGTATTGGAACGGGTGAGCTCTTGGATAACACTTACAGAGAGGGTAAGACTTCCCGGCTGAGGCTGGCTCGTTGGCCAGCACTGCAATGCTCTCTGGCTGCTTTCCTGCCTTCCCTTCACGTATTACAGTAAAGAAGAACTTGGTTTCAGCAGATTGAGAAACAAGCCATTGCTGTACGTAAGGTAGACTGGGAGGCGTTCGCTGCTGTACCTCAGGCTGGTCTTCCTAAATTCATTGGAAGCACTCCCAGCAAGCAGAGAAGCCAGCACGTAGAATCATAATTGAGTGGTAATTAAGATGCGCTGTTTATGCTTTTACTGAGATCACTGATGTGTCAGCGGCAGGCTACAGGAGGGACACTACTAGGATCAAGGAGAAGCCGCACATTGGCGTGATGGCCTATTTCAATACAAAGAGCCAGTTTTCTGGGTAAAACGGAGCAGCACAGCTTTACTCCAGTCCCCCACCTGTTATAGAACAATGACTGGGATATATTTTGTAGAAGCTTGAAAAAAATTTTTTTGTTTATTTATTTATTTATTTATTTTTAAGAATTACCTTTTAAGCTGGAGTTATCTTAAAGTCTTGAGCCACAGTTACCCATCAGTATGATGTCATACATTTCTAGTACAGTAAAATGTATTGGTTGGATGTTCAGGGAATAGTTTTCTTCTAATAACAGAAGAGGTAAAAAGGAGCCATGTTTGCCACTTCTTTTCCCCGAGCTCTACAGAAGCCAGAGCCTTCACACTGAGCTGTAGCTCCAGTCCCTTTTCTTTGTAATTTTGAAGCAGGGCCTCACAAAGTCACTAGCCGGTCCAGGTTGGCTTTGTGCTTGTGATCTCCCTGTCTCAGCCTCCCACAATATTGGGATTAGGGGCATTTGCCACCTGGCTGTTGCCATGCGTTACTTGAGAACATTCCAGCTTCCAGCCTTGAGTCTAAAATGGGCCTGGGTAGCAGATGCACTTGCCCAAGCTGGCCTTGCTCAGAATCTAAAAGGTCTGCCATGTTTTAGCCCAGTCAGTGTTGCAGAGAAAGTGCGGTTTTGCATTGGAGGTGGAGCTCTGCGTTCACCCCCACCCCCACCACCAAGTGGAGTTTTGGTTGTAACTTATGTAACTTGAAGGAAGAGGAGAATTTTAATCTTCTCAACAAGGTAAGCATGAGTAAATTTGACCTACCTACTTAATTTAGGGTAATTTGTCAGCTTAGTCATACTACATGTTAATATGAAGATAAATTACCATTTCCAGGGGCCAGGAGATGGCTCAGTAGAATAAGCGCTCCCCTGGCAAGCACAAGGGCCTGAATTCAATCCCCGGTTCTGTAAGCAAAACAAAACAAAAACCATTTCCGGAATTTCTTTTCTTTCCCTCCACTGTATTCATCTGTTATTAGAGAAACATTAGCTGATGACAGTTGTTTTCTCTAACCTCCTAGTAAGTTACCTTTGGTGAATACCTTATTTTAATAGGAACGTTGGAAGATTATAATAAAATACATACCACAGATATTTTCAGTATCAGTTTTTTGGGTTTTGGGTTTTTTGGGTTGTTTTGTTTATTTTTTGTTTTTGGTACCAAAAAACCGACTAAGGACTTTGCAATTGCGAGGCAAGCACTTGTGCCACTGAGCTATACCCCCAGCTCTTTTAAAAGATAAAAAGGAGTTTCTTTTTGTCCATGTAACCTTCTATTAACTGTGAAAATAGTTCTGCAAAATAAGGTCCAGTTTGGAAAATCTAATAACTTCCCAAATCCAAACTGTGGACATAATAAGTGTAGGTGTTTTGTGAAAAGCTGTGCTTTGATAGATACTTTCCATCAAAGAATATTTATACTTTCTGTCACTTGGAAAATAATTTACCAGGAGTGTTGGTACATACCTGTTGTAATCCCAATGTTCTTGAGGCTGAGACGGGGATCACAAGTTTGAGCCTAGGGCAGGTCATTTATCAGCCAAAGGGATCCTGTATCAAAAAAGTGCTAGAAATACATGCAGTTCAGTTCAAGGGCTCTGGGTGCCATCCCCTATCTGACCCTCTTCTCCCACCCTCCCCCCAAAAAAAGAAAAAGAACTTTGAGTTAGAGCCACGTTTGTTATTTTAAGACTGACTAAAGGGGCCAAGGAGATAGCTCAGTGGAATAAGTGCTTAGCCCTGGCAAGCATAAGGGCCTGAGTTCAATCCCCAGTTCCACAAAAAAAAAAAAAAAAAAGACTGACTAAAGGTAAAGAAGGGAAGTCATAATGAAATTTAACTACATTTTTTCTAGAAATGAATCTCACCTGAGAAATGTATTAAATGGTTATATATATTGACTCACTTTTATACCATAATATACTATCATCTGATTTTATCTGATCTACTTTCTTCACCAACATGTTTGCTCATAAATTCTGAGTGTGGATGTATAAAATTAATTGATTTCTAAATTCATTTAAAAATCTGTTTAGCCCTGGGCATGGTAGCATGTGCCTGTCATCCCAGTGCTTGGGAGACTGAGGCAGGAAGCCAGCCTAAGCTACATAACGAGACCCTGTCTCAAAAAGTGAAAAAATACTTTGAAGTTGACAAATTGTTTTATGTGTTGTGGGAGAATTGACATAACCAACTCTTGGAGGTCCAAGCTACAGAAATATTCTCCAACTTTGAGCCTGCCAGTTCCTGATTTCAAAGATGCCAAAGGAGTGGAGACTATACCTTGCATGCTGTGTGGTTTGCTTTGTTAACCCAAGTTTGCTTGTCTGTTTCCTAATCCAAACAGAGCGTCAGAAGCCATGATGCATGTAGTGTGTGTGTGCTGCAGCTGGAGTGGGCCCCAGACCAGGTATTTATAGCCACCACATTACGCCTTCCACGTAGCTGTCTGTGCTCTCAGAGCCTCTGTCTCTAGCAGTTTGGAAGTTAGCTTCTGCCATCAACTATCTCATCCTGTCTAATCATGGTTACAACCAGCCTGTAGTATTTACCTTTGTGTGTATGTTGGCATACAAACACGCGTAAATAGAAATTTCTGTTTGAAATTTTATCAGTTATTAGGACATTTCAGAGGAGGAAAAAACTCAGTGAGGAGTGTCCGTCACAGCACCCATAACTCCTGGCCTTTGGGAATATCAAGTCAAGGATGCTGGCTTCGCAGCACTTTGCCTGTGTACTTACGGTTCTCCTACATCCCTTTCCTCTGAAGCTCTTTTCCCCTCCTACTTCACATCACTGCCTTGAGTTCCAGAAGGGGAGAAACTCATTCTGTTCAGGAAGAAATGGAAGCTTGAGTCAGATGACTTGTCCAGAGTCAGGCGAGTCGGAACATAAACAGGTCGTACACCTTATCCCTGCAACAAGAATGAGAGTGTGCCTTTCCCTGTGCCCTGGCCTGACAGCCTCCCCATTCCGCTTCCATTTCCCTGTGCTGTAAACAAGATCACTGTCAGCCCGCATATACTGGCTGACACAGCACAGCGAGGAAGTTTCTTTCACAAAATTAGGGCTTTGTAAGGATTTTTTTGCCTGGTTGTAATTGAATTCATAGCATTTTGTCCTCCTTGCCCTCATCCTCAAAACCTCCACCTACCCCTCCCTTTTCTGCCTTTCTCCTTTTCTCCCTCCTCCTCTTTTCCCCTTGTAAGCCAGTTTAATTATTCCTAATACCAAGTTATTTTCATTCTATTCTCCTGAGCGTCCTAGTGTACTAACCCAGTCCTATACGACAGTTAGGACTTAGACTAATGAAAGTAACCAAAGCAGGTGCAAGAGGCCACATGCTGCTCTCATAGTGTATACAAAATCTATGGCGGATGTGTTGGCCTTCACCTTGGTGACAGTGTATAAATGGTATACCAGTGACAAATGGCCTTCATCATACCTTCCGTGTCTCATGTCTCATGACAGTGCAGTTTTCTGTTAGCACTTGATCAGAATTGAACATCTTTCACAGTCAGCCTAATGATTAGATTGATAAATAAAAAATGCTCTTTTCCTGTTTACTGCTAAACTATAAAGTAAGATTGTTTTGTAAGAAGTCAAGGGGCTGGTGAGATGGCTCAGTGGTCTAAAGCACCTACTTAGAACAAGCTTAGCAAAGCACAGGGACCGTGGTTCACTCCCCCAGCACCACATGCCAGCCAGCCCAGCCCCCTGGTGGGCTGAGCTGGCCACACACACACACACACAAATAAAAATTTAAAAAAAAAAAGTCAATAACTTCCTGACACAATGCTTCATCTTCTTGTGCTGTTAACCAGTGTTTGATTAGAATGATTTAAAGCTGGTCGCGTGTTGGATGTTAACATTGAGCCCAGAGCAAGCATTTGGATTGTATCTAACGAGGCAACGTTGTGGCCAAGGTTGACTATAAATTATAATATGTGCTTTTGGTCAATTTTTAAATTGTTCACTATCAAAGGGAGAATTGGAACTGAAGTTTAGGGTTCAAGCCTGCCATCACATGTGAGGCTCATTAATTGCAATGACTCTTAAGCAGTCATCGCTGCCAGAGACTGAAGCTGGAGGATTGTTGTGAGTGTGAGGCCAGCCTGAGTTCAGGGCCAGCCTGAACTACGTACAAGGCCCAGTCTCCAACAACACCACTGCTTGTTGAAAAACTATTGTGATTTCCTTCCACTATTTACTTTATTATTCTTCTGTGCTTAAACTGCTTAAATGTTCTTAATTGTACTAAATGTGGTATTGTACTAGAGTTGTAATATTTAGTGGGGTGTTGACTGGGATCTAATGTCTTTTTATTTTATTGAGAAACAAATAGCAATGAGACAGTTTCAAAACCGATTAATGTGATAGTTTCAGTAATACATTGCATATTGGGGTTTTTTGGTTATTTTATTTTATTGAGAGACAAATATCAATGAGACAGTTTCAAAACTGATTAATAGGACAGTTTCAGTGATAAGTACATTGTGCATTGTTATCTTCTTAGTGGTTATCCATAGTACACGATGCAGACAGAATATCCTGTCCAAACACTATTAGTACAAATCTTTCTTCTCATTGAATTAAGTGAAAGTAGCTGTATATCTATCCTAACTATTCTGCATATATAGATACAAAATGATCCTTCCTTTGTATCCCCTTTTTTGTTTAGTCCTGTCAGAAATGGGTATTCCATTGGCATCTAAATACTATAGGTGCATGAATTCAGCAAAACAATCCAACACAGTCCAGCGGTCCACAATTTCAGTGGGTTATCCGAAGAAGTTGATGACCTGAGCCTTTCACAGTCAGCATATTAATATGGCTTTACTTTATATACCTCATTTTTATACTTTTCTGCTGGATGGTTAAGACCAAGATAAAGCAAGACCTGTATAACTACGTTGTATGTTGTTGTCTTCGTAGTGGTTATTTGGCTCAGGCTTCCTTAAGGGTGGGTCTGTAAGGCAGGTAGAGCTGGGGATCAAACCATGGTATCCTGCGCCTGACTGCATTTGCATGAGGCAAGTGCTTAACTGAGCTAACTGGCAGCCCCCCCCCCATCTAATCTCTTTGATCTTAATTAAGCCTTATGTTTTTCTGGAAGTCTGCAAGGATTATGCAAATTCTTATTTCTCCTTACACTTCCTTTTTTTTTTTTATAATTTTATTGAGAAATAACAATGAGACAGTTTCAAACCAAATTGGTAGGACAGTTTCAATAATTAACACATTGCATACATTCTTCCTAAGTGGTTAATTGCTGTACAAGATGCGGACGTGATATCCCATTTACAAACACAATTAGAACAAATCCCTCTATTCATTAAGAGACTGTAACTATATATCTATCCTAACCATTTTGAATACATAGATACAAAATGGACATTCATCTGTATCCCCTTTTTTGTCAAGTTCCGTTATTTGAATATTATAGGTATGTAAACTCGGCAAAATATTCTAAAAGAGTCCAGTAGCCCATAATAGTATTGGGTCTTCCGCTTGACTGGCAACGTCAGAAATTGTTGACCTGAGTCCCCTACAGCTCAATATAACAGCCATAACAGCATGGCTTTGCTTCTTATATTTTGTTTTTATACTTTTCTGCGGGATGGTTAAGACCAACATAAAGCAGGACCTGTGCAACAAGAGTTGTAGCTTTTGAGTCTGATAAGGTCAGTGAAATCCCCTCAGGATTTATCCTGAGACCCTGTACCTCAGATTGTAGAACCTTTGTCAGTGTCAGCCATGTGGATGAGTCACGGCCATTGCTTGGCCAATGTGCTCTCTGTGAAAGCCTGAGAGAATGTTTTCTCTCCAAGTGACTTTCCTTAGGCACACTCTACATCATCGCTCTCTTTCCTCCTTGGCCCCATTCTCCTTATACTTTCTACTCTGTCCCAAGTATACCTGCTATTGTGCTTCTTATTTCTGTGTTCAGTGTTCACAGCTGAAACATGAAACATGTATTGGCGTGGAAATTACCATGTCACAAGGATTCTCAAGAACGCTTGTGATGTGCTTAAGAATCACTTGGGGGTGCTAGGCATGGTGGCACTGGCCCCACCCCCGGGCACTCTGAGCTGGGGGACAGAGTCCAAGTGTGGTGTTGCATTCCTATAATCCCAGCACTGGCAAGGCTGAAAACAGGAGGATCACCACGAGTCCGATATGCGTAGTGAGACCCTGTACAACATACACGAGAGGAGGGAAAAATAATCACTTGAGTTCATTGAACGTGCATACTCCTTCTTTTACTTACGTATGGCATCGTAGAGCCTGTATATTTAACAAGCATCCAGGCAATTGTAGGACAAGTGGTGGGAAAATACACTTGAGGAAACGCCTAGAGCTTTAGACTCACTGGAGGTAAAGATGTATAAGTGTGCTACAGCCTGCTGAGTACTGGTCTGGCGTTATGTAAGCACATACTGAACTGCAGTAAGCATGTGCTGTCAGAACATTACTGCTGGGCTGGTTAGATGGCTTGGTGGTCTAAAGCACCTACTTAGAACAAGCTTAGCAAAGCACAGGAACCAAGGTTCAATCCCCCAGCACCACATGCCAGCCAGCCCCGCCCCCTGGTGGGCTGAGCTGGCCACACACACACATAAATAAATAAAATTTAAAAAAAAAAAAAAAGAACGTTACTGCCTCTTATTCTGATTTTGTGATGTTAAATTGCTTAATGCATTGAGAAAGATTCTTAGTTTTTAAAATCATGTGTAAGGGAAACCAGAGTTAAAGGACTTGTAGATTAATTCTACCCTGGTAATTGAATGGCCCTTGTTACCTGCCAATTAATTGTTTTGCTTTCCCTTTTGTGACAGAGAAAAGCGGTAAAGAATCTACCTCACTGGGAATGTCATCATTACCGACTTCAGATGGACTTACCCACCCAGCCCATTCTTCAGGACCAAGTCCTGGGATGGGTGACCCTCCGAGTCTTGCTCGCTCTGCCTCTGCTTCAGTCTGCCCTTTCAAGCCCAGTGACCCAGACAGCATTGAACCGGAAGCTGTGGAGGCGTCAAAGACTTCATCTGAAATCCGGATGAGCTCAAAAAAGAAAGAACTTCTACAAGAGCTTTCTGATCATGCTTTCTCAGCAGACCAGCGTTCAGCGATGCCTTTGCATAATTCATCTAAAGAAGCAGTCATTAGAGATAATCTGGAGAAATGTGCTGAAGGAAGCACCCAGGGCCTCAAACTTTATCTCCATACAAGACAAGAAGCTAGTTTATCTGTCACAACTACTAGGATGCATGAACCACTGATGCTTATAGACAAAAAGGGTTGCCACCCAGAAAATCAGAACCTGCATCAGCTCAATGGCCTTCAGCAGCACACAGAACCAGGGAATAAACAACAGGAGGTCCAGCAGGATGCTCCACATGACCAAGGACATCTTTGTGACCTGAGGGACCTTCCACTTCCTAAAGAAGAGGAACAGGAGCAACAGAAAGGTATTGATTTGGAAGCTCTGATCACAGGAGATAGGCTGCAGCAGAACATGGATCCAAGCACGGAGAAAAGCTTTCTATCTTCAGGGTACTTTGGCTGCTCAAGTTCAGAAATGCTCATGGAAATAGATTTGGCTGAACAAACCCTAGTCACCGTGCTTAATTCAGCAGGCAGGCAGAATGCCAATGTCAAGAACACTGGTGTATCTAGTCTCATTTCAGATAATCCCTTGATGGAAGTAGAAACATCAAAATATAATCCTTCATCTGAAAGTGGGAATAATTCTACTCCCCCCCAGGCTTTACAGCCCCCAGAAAGTAATGTTGAAATGTCTGGAACAAATAATGAATGTGGCAAAAATCTACCCTCTCAGAATCTATGTGGCAGTTGTAAGCCCTCTGTGGATTCAACAGAAGAATCTTGTTCGTCTGTAACAGCAGCCTTGAAAGAACTTCATGAACTTTTGATCAGTAGTAGTAAGCCCACTTCAGAAAATACATCTGAAGTTACCTGTCAGTCAGAAACAGTACCCAAGGGCCAAACGGGTATTCAAGGCCTTTCAGAACGGTGGGCTCAGAATGAGAATCTGCCCCACAGAGATCCGTGTCCAGAAGTCTCCTGCCATCAGGCTGGATGTGTATCAGTGAAGACCGAAAACTTAGGCGCTGCACCTGGCCCTGGAATGGAAGATAAGGAAAATACTAGCTTCCAAGGTCCAGGTAGTGGTCTGTCAGCTGACAAGGAAGGTGTCCTCAAGTCTAGAGAGTCAGTAAGTGAAAGCAGTTCTGTCACTGTAACCTCAGCTAAATCATCTAATCAGTTACACTGCACCTTAGGTGTAGAAATTTCACCCAGTCTCGCAGCCAGTGAGGAGGATGCCCTCAATCAGACTTCTGAGCACACTGAGTCTTTGCCATCTAATTTCATACTGGTTAAAGACTTGGGTCCTGGCATACAGAATCCAATAATAGACAGGCCCGAAATCAGAGAAAATGCCTGTCCTGGCCCTGCAAGGCCATTTCTTGAGCTGGAGCCGCCGAGCAGCCATCCACCATCAAGTCCTTCCCGCCTGCCACCCTTAGTGTTTCCTGCCACAGATATTGACCGGATTCTTCGGGCCGGCTTTACTTTGCAGGAAGCTCTTGGGGCTTTGCATCGTGTTGGTGGAAATGCAGACCTTGCACTTCTTGTTTTGCTAGCAAAGAACATTGTAGTTCCCACATAACTATGGGAAAGTGGGCTAGACCGTACTCCATTCCCTTTATTAAAAAAAAAAAAAAAAAAAAGCACTCTCTACACACACATACATACCACATAGACAGTATATGTAGAAACCTGCAAGCAGAATGTTGAGCCAGATTGTTTTTAAAGATTTTTTTTTTTTTTTTTTGCCAAAGTAATTTATGATCTCTTGTCTGATGAATTTGTCTATCCTATTTGTTAAATTTTGGGCCTTTAAAAATGTATTGGCAGTATGTGCATATGAAAGCTTTTTATTCTCATTAAGGTGATGTATTCTGGAATAAAATGGATGGTCTTGTGTATAGTGTAACATTTTAGAATGAGAGTGAATGCTTTAAAAAGCAGAGGCCATGAAAAATCCCCCCACCCATGCAACGAGAAACATTAGCTTCCCATTTGTTCTGCTATAGGCAGGGTATGGCTTGTTGATGCATCAATTTAGAAACTTTTGACCATACTGCTTGGTTTTTGGAGTTCTACACAGTGGCTGTGTATTATTCATTCATCAGTTATAACAGAAAATTGAGGAATAATATACACTAGAGTGGTATGCTTTTATTTGTGCTCAGGATTTGACATTTTAATAGGGTGAGTGGGGGGCTGCTTTGTGCATCACAAGCTGCCGCATGCATGGGTTGATTGCCAGATGTCTTTGTTACATTGAGTGGGATAGCTTAGAATTAACATTAGAGTGAAACATGGTGCTACCCAGACTTTAAAAGGAAAGGGATAGGAAGCCCCAGTCCTGATGGCATCTGCAGCAGTCAAGGACTGTGCAAGAACAGTGGCTTCAATAAACACTGGAATTCACGAAAGATTGAGTTTACTAGCATCTCGCTGATTAACACCTCAACCCTCGTGATTAAGGATGAACTCATGTTTAGTTAAATGGGTTGGTTGCCAGTAGTTTATTTCCTTTTCAACCTCATGTACTAGAAAGTTCTTCCAGAGCTCTGTTTGTGCTGTAATCTGAGTGAAATAGGAAGTGTGATAGTCTTGTCACTAGTTCATCTTGGTGCTTGGAATGGTCAATTTGGTGTCACTCATGGCTGTGAGAATAGTGGTTTTTGACTCAAGTGGCCTTGGTAATGTTTTCCATCCCTTTGTTTTCTCAGGAGTTTCTTTTTTAAGCAAGATTCCTGTTTGTGTTTACCATGTCAAATTAGAGTGGGGCAAAATATTTAGATGTATTTATCGTGGCCTTTCTTTTATATAAGGACTAGCCCTTGGAAGTCGTCGTCCTGTGGGCCCCACTGTGCAATAATCCTACTGGATAGGTCTTCGATGATTGTTTCCTAGGAAATCAACTGTTCTTTTAGGCATCTAGTGGGAAGCTGAAATCTTAATTTTTTTTTAAGAAATTTGAAAGCCAGGCATGATGGTGCATACCAGTAATCCCAGCCCTCAGAAGGTTAAGGCAGGAGGATTATAAGTTTGAGACCAGCTTGGGCTACATAATGAGATCCTATCTCAAGAAAGAATAAAAATTAACATTTCTTAAAAATGAATTTTTGAGAATGATTACTTCTGATTCCATGTTATAAAGTTTGTAACATGTTTGAAACAGCTGTTGCAAAAGTGATTTCTGAACTTGAGTTAGATGATTTTTTTTCTGAAATCTCCTTAAAAGCTTTTTCTTTCCATCGAAATTTAAATCACTGAGCACAACTGAAACAGGCTCATCTCAGGAGTTTTTGAAACTTTCTACTCTAGCAGCAGTTAGAGGCACTTCTCTTTTCCTTTTCCCGTCTCTTTTTTTCTTTGTTGCTTGTGTGTGTACACTTTGAGACTTAGTGACCTGGTGCAGGTCATTGAGATTCATCATGATCTTTCTGAAGTTAGGAAACGGTTGACAGGAGGACTTGTAGTTCACGGCTTTCCAGCGTGCTCTAGAACAACAGTTGAACCTGGCTGTTTTTAAATGGACAGGCAGCCACATGTTGTAGACTCTTGCTTGCCCTACACCAAAGATGTAAGATGCACTAGGAAACCACTACAGGATTTCTGTCAACCAACTCTCAGAGCTGTGATTGTAATTAAGTAGTTGGTGCTATGATCAAGACAAAATCCAGCACAGCACAGTGGGGGCCTGTATTCGCTTTGTGACTGGTGATTTGAGTGTAATTAGGGTTATAAATCTGTAGGGCACAGGGTGGGGTGGGTATGGGAACTTACTGGTGACTGCAGACTCCTCCCCAAAGGCCTGTTGGTTGAAAGTGGCCACACAGCTCTGTGCTAGCAGACCAGCCTTCAGCATGCCGCTCAGAAGCTAGCCGCCAGCTTTTTATTCTGTTGAGGTTTGGGAAGCCATCCCAGGTGGAGTATGTGTGTCAGTCTGGAAAAGACTTCATTGCAGTAGTGTTTATGTATCTGTATATTTATTTTTAGGAGGAAATCAAATAGGCTTATAGTTGTGTAGGTATTCTTGTTAGGAATACTTTCAATGAGCTTAACCCACTTGCCAAATCATCCTTGTTCCTTTTGGTCTTGCTTGCTTTTGATTTTTAAAATTGCCACTTTCTGTCCATCATATGAAAATAAAATTGTTGACATTGTTAGGATTTTGAATGATTGTTTTAATTTGGAAGTTGTAGACCACAAAGGGTGTTACGGAACATTACATTGGTGAGCCTCCATTATCAGTTTTTATTCAAGCTATAAAAACTTCTAAAAAATAAACATCAAGTCATTGTGAACTCTTTGCCAGCAGAACTGATAATAGCCATAACAAGCACTGGCCCGCTCCTTTGCCATAACTGGTCACGGGCAGTCCTGTGGTCAGTACTTCCATCGTAGGGTGGTCTCTGCATACTCACCAAAGAGAAGAGGGTTTCTTGTCAGACTTGTATTGTGCCCCTAGGTCGTTCTTGTGTAGACTGACGTGCTTGCTAACCAGCTATACCCAGGCTGTAGATTTTGCTTTTCAGCACATAAGCAGTACGTCCAGCTCTGCCTATTGAGGCCTCCAGACAGCTGGGAGCCTTCGTGCCACAGTGTGGGGCTTAGCTGTTAATGAATAGAAGGAACCAGTTGCTTGGTGAAGGAAGTTGGGTAGATAGCGGATATTAGAACCCTTCTGTCTTGCAGGCTACGTGTCCCAGAGCTCCTTGACTCCATACGCTGAAGGGAGGCACGGCCCCATGAGCTTCATCCCCAAAGTATTTCTCTAGCAAGAGGGATAAAACACAAGACTGTGTCATTGATTTCACAATGCCCATTTAATGTGGAATCTGCCTCTTTTTCCCTGTCACAGCTATCTCTAATGAAAGCCATAAAAATTGTTGGTGTGACTTTTCAGCTCTTATCTATAAATACCTGTATGAGCGATCATGTACATAGGGTGATTGACATATCTTAATTTTACATAGATTAAAACAAGCAATATTTATATCTACGGACGTAGTTTTCACTTATGGTGGCTTTTATCCCACCATGTATATAATAAACTGCCTTGCACGTAACTAGCCAGGAGTCACAGAGCCTTCGGACGCCTTGCCCCCTGCTGGCCACCTGTGGTGAGGCTGCATAGGAAGGTTGAGTTGCTGTGTATTTCACAGTTCCTGTTGCTGGCAACACGTCCTAGAGAAGCCAGCCAGGGCCCAGGATGAGCTCGGAGGCACAGCGCATGCTTAGGGTGTGAGGCCCGACTTTGATCCCTAGCACCAAACAAGATGGATACTTAATAAATACAACATGCTCACTGGATTGTGTTCTCTCTTGCACTCACCCAAAGGCCCAATTTTTCATTTGAATTTGATTTGGTGTAGTCCTTGGCTGAACTAAGAAAGTTCAGTTCATGGGCGTTTCCCTTCATAGAAAATGTTACTTGTGTTACAAGTTCCATGAGGCAAAAATAGCCCTGCCCCAAGAGTGAGCTGACAGTCACGTGATAAATGTTACTCAGAGCCTGTCCTTTGGGAATGTCAAAGCATGGCTCAGGTTTTGTACTTGCTGCAGCCTAGGTAGGTGTTAGGAATTCACTGGATAGAGAGCTTTGGCCCGAACCTCTGCTCTTTTGTTTTGTGCCTTAGTTTATCTGAATAGCAGAGGCATCAGATGGTGGGGAGTGGAGGCAGGTGGATCGGGAGGTTTGCAAGTAGCCCTCCTGGTGACGAGGCCCGCTGTCACTGAGTGATCCCCGTTTCTCTACGCTGTCCCTGGGTTTCCCCAGATGAGAAGGTTGCTGTGTGGGCTTTTGCACCTGGCAGGCCAAAAGGTGGCTCTCTAGATGTTTGTTGTGTTCTTTGTCACTCAGTTGTCTGGTGAGTAAGGAAGAGAAGTGAGAAATTCTCTTCTTACATATTTAAAAGGAAGTTAACTACTTCCTTTGGGACTATGCAGTGTGAGTCTGAGGCAGGACCTTGTCAGGTAGCACGAGTAGGCCTCAGATTTATGGGCATCCTTGTGCCTGCCTCCCGAGTCCTGGTGTTACAGGTGTGTGCCACTATGCCTAGTTTTTTGTGTGTCTTTGACACTGTGTAGTTAAGGCTGATCTTGAACTCAGAATCTCTGCCTCAGCCTCCTAAGTGCTGGAATTACAGAAGGGCACCACCATACCTAGCTTGCTGTATGAAGTTTTGCACGAAAGTCTGTTGTTCCAGGGCTGAGGAAGTAGCTCAGTAGAGTGGGCATTTGCCTGGCAAGCGCAAGGGCCTGAGTTCAATCCTCTGTTACACACACACACACACACACACACACACACAAATATGTTCCTTTTTCATCTGCTCATAAAATACTGAGTGTCCATTTGCCAGAGACTGATGAACGCTGGGGTCTCAGGTGACGACTGCTACTTCAAATGCAAGATTTATTTTTGCTTATGTTTCTTGGGTTTTGTTTTTTCTCTCCCAGAACAAGGCCTTCTTCTCCAGAATGATCTCTTCCGGCCCCAGGCTTCCACATAGCAGGGATTACAGATGTGCCACCTCACGGTTAGCATGCTTTGCTTTTGAAGTCATTCAACTTACATGGTTCTAGTTTAGAGCCAGTTGGGAAGAGTCAAACCCACAGTAGAATCTGATGCTGGGAACTAATGTTTTTGCCCAGTACTGTGGATTGAATCCAGGCCTCTGCATACTAGGCAAGTGCTGTGACATGTCCTTAGCTCTGGAATTATGGGGGCCTGCCCCCTAGCTCAGTTCTTTAAGTGGCTGCTTCAATCAAGCAGTCAGGCTCAGGTTGCTGTGGTTCGATCCCCACAACTCAAGCCAGCCAAACCTGCCCTGAAGGCGTTCGGAGCAAAAAAAAAAAAAAAATCCTTTTTAATGCCAGGTGTGGTAGTGTCTGCCTGTAATTCCACCACTCAGGAGGCTGAGGCAAAAAGATCAATAGTTTGAGGCCAGCCTTGCCTACATAGTGAGGCCCTGTCTAAATTATTTTTTATATTTTAAAAAGCAGAATCAAGCCAACAAAAATTGTAACATTTGGCAGAAAAACCTGAAGAGATCAGATACTGAGAAATCAATTTATATTACTGGTAGGAGGGAAAGGATAGGGCAAGATAGTCCAGGGGATGGGATGGGTGACAACCAGCCTTGCGGCAGGACCCTGCTGTAAGGGGTAGAGATGGCTCTACCTTCTCGCTAAGTGAGGCAGCTCGGGAACTCGAGCCATGTGGGCCGACGGGCCAGAGCCCAGGCTTCTGCAGGATGTGCTATTTTAAAGCAGCTGAGTGCAGCATATGAAAACAAGCATCTAGAGCAGGAAATGTAGCCAGCCTGCTCTGGACTGGGTAGTGAGCAGGATGGATTTCCAAAAGAATTCAGGCTCTACTGGGTGGCAGCAGGAAGACTTCATCCTAGGGATGTTCTTTCACCTATTAAAACTCGCAGGCTGTGTTAGAATCTGAAGCAAGGAGCAACATTTCCGAGTCTTGGCTCTTAGTGTCGAGTTTCACAATTCACTGCTGTCGGTGACAGCTGGTCATAGACCACAGGGCTGTAAAGGGGAGGGCTCAGCTGAGAGGTAGGTCACCACCTTAAGGGAAGAGATTGGCCAAGAAAATGGCACAAGGGCATAGGGGTGAGAGGCTGTTACTTTACCTAAAATACTAAAACAACAAATGAAGTGAGAGAACATAACATTGGGGCCACTCGTACAAAACTACATTGCTCTATGCCATAAAATGTTCATTACCTAATTGGGTCAGGTTGAGGCATTATTTTTCCTAGTAAATTTTGTCAGATAGGAAATGATGACTGTCTTACCTGCAGCCTTGAGTGAGTGGGCCTGTGACCTAAGGAAGGGCAGATCAGTTTGTTTCCAGAGTGCTTGGCCAGGCTCCGTTCTTTTTTTTGTCTTTGCTTTTTTCCTTTTTTTTTTTTTTTTTGTGGCTGTACCAGGGATTAAACTCAGGACCTTGCGCTTGCCAGGCAGGTACTTAAGCCACTGAGCTATATCCCTGGCTAT